TTACATTTTTAATGCTAATTTTGACCTAAATTTCATAGTTCTCAATTTATAAACCAGCTAAATTCTAACCTAACCTTGTTTATTACTGTCACACTACTGCTTGAAGACTTTCAAATAATAAAATTTTTTACTATAAAACATGAATAATAACGGGAACAGTCAGTATAAACAGTAAATATTTAATAAATTATTAAGCATACGTTTATTCACGTGGTCTATTTTGATAAATTTCGAGGCTTTTCACCTTTTAATCAGCTGAATGATGAATAAAGAGTAAACAAGCGCTTTTATACTTCAATATTTTTATTTGATTTTTGCAAATAATACTAGCAAGTGCTATTTTACATAAAGTTTGAAAATAAGCTTGATCAAAAAAGTGTTAATAAGTGTTATCATTTGAAAGAAAAAGTGAATTTGGACAAAAATCGCGTCAACTTTTAAACGCAACAAACGTTTAATAGCGTTTTTAGTGATACAAAGCTTTAACATAATGTAAATATAAAATTCAGTAATAAAATAAAGTGATGACGTAATGGTATAATGATGTATGCCAAAAAAAATATTTGAAATAACAAAATGTTTATGTAATGAACAGAATTCAGTGCAAACTATTAGAACTGAGCGATGGGAAATACATGTCAATAAAAGTTACTTCAAAAAATTATTAAAAATATTCACAACCTCAAAAAAGATACATTTTGCTAATGCATGCAAAACGAGTTGGGTGCATGGATGGGTGCGTGGATGAATAAATAATAAAGTTTGCATAAGCTGCACAGAGTAAACATGAAGTGAACTATTTCCATATTACTCACTTTACTTGATTATTGCATATTCTTAGATATTTCTGGATCTGAACAATTTATTTGACTGAATATTATCAAAAGCAAAATCTTACTTATAAAGCCATCAAATTAAATTTGCTTTTCTAAATTCATTTCAAATTATGAATTTTCTGATGAAACTGAAAAATTTTTGTTGACTTATATTATGCAAAGCTTAAGATCAAATCAATAAGCGTATTTTGATATTTAAAATCTGTGTATATTCCAGTAAAAACCATTTCATTATAATTAAAGAATAATAATAATACAAATAATCATTATTATTATCACTGATAAGAGTAATCATGGTTAATACTTGGAATACTTATGATTATTTATTATTATTGAATTTTTCAATTTACATTCATTAGCATTGAAAAGGCCAATTTATAGTAACTTAGGAAAGATTTTTTCATGAATTAAAAAAAAACGTGAAAAAAGTATAGATTAGAGTTCATTCTTTCTTACGTAAAATGACACAATAATAAAAAATTTAAAAAGTAAAAAAAACTTAAAAATGCTATTGCAAATGTTGAAAAAATTTCTAGCAGCGTAACAATACAACTTTTTTCATTTGTTTCAGATTCTATTCAAACAATGTTAATAATAGAAGCAGTACTTTACATCAAGTAATCATAATTGAAAAATATTGACTTCTTCTAAAGTCAGAGTTTACCAACGGCAAAATGATTAACTTCACGTCACTCTCAGCGCTAATTAAATATCATTTTTTTTAAAACTTACTTTGTTATACTATGTGTTTGTTTAAAAATTTAGCCAATATATTTTCAGAAAATCTCTCTTCGTTCGATTTTTTTTTGCTAATATTTACAAGTAACACAATCACAGCTATGAATTTAAGCAGAAGTCAATTTATCGTAACACAAAGATAATCATTTTTAAATTTTTGCCTGAACATTCACACATTTTAACAGCAATGAAATAAAAATGCAATTATCAAAATAGTAATGTAAGTAAATGCTAGAAAGATGAGAATACGTAAATGCGAATAAAAGTTTGTCCACACAAATATACAAAATTTGGTAGTAAACAGTTATTTTTAATTTATAAAATTAGTGATTAAGTGAAAAGAGACGTAGAATAAATTGAAATGCATCACATATGATTAAAGTGGATTAAATTAGATTAAATTACAAATTTTAATAAATAAATATGAAGTGATCGGAGATAAACAAAGTTTAGTTCAGTGCCAATTTTGATTTTGTTCTTCTAATCGATATGAAAACAAAACGAAAATTGAACGAAGAGAGACTTTTTATTTAGAAAAGCTCACTCTGAAAGTATTCGATCTTTCCTCTTCCCTCACCTTTACCCTTTCAATTTACGTATAATTAACGCTCAAAAGTTGCATTACGTTTTTTCCCCTAAATTATCTCTTCAATATGAACAACAAGCTAATAATTCAAAATTTTATTAAAATTAAACGTTTTTTCTTCAATTTTTGGAAATAAACAATAATTGCAATGAAAGTTAGTTGCATAAATAATCAGAATATTCATTTGTTTAATGAAAGTTAAATGTGAGAAAGAAAGATAACATTCATTTGAAAATAATTTATTTCTAGCAATTTTTATAAATGTAAAAATTTTTTTGCTCTGTCTAAAACTATTCATTGGATTAAGATGAAAACAAATCATGCATATATATTAGTGATAAGATTCTAGTATCAAACTGATAACTGACTACTTTTTTGTTACTCATTGCAGATTTTTTGTTTATGCTTATAATTAATAATAATAATAATAATAATAAATGAGTTTAAATTATTAAGTATTTAATTTGAATCGCTCAAGTCTAATTTAGCTTTTCTGTTTTTTTTTTAAGAACTACACTTGATAGTGAATTGATTAGTCATAGTTTGACAATCTCATTTTGTGCATTTAATTTATTATTATTTTTATTTTATCCATATTTTAATTTAATGAAAATTCCTCAGGTATAATGCAAATAAATCATTTAGCTAGACAAATAAGAAAATATCTTGATTTTTGTTCAAGTAGTCTCAGTTTAGAGTAAATTAGCTAACAGATTGATCAAATTATTAATCTCACAGAATACATGTCAAAATTAATAAAGTTAAGTCCGCTCATAAGTTTGAAAATTGTACATATGTAATTTTTGCTAAAACTATTTGATAAACTTGAAATGTCAAATGTCAAAGGTTAGCACGAGAGAAGAGATTTTGGCAATTGAAAAGAAAATTGCTATGAGCAATTTTTGCATTTACATTCCTTTTTAAATGATGTTTTCCACATCACTGCATTCCATTAAAAATAGCCAGCACAGTGTGTGAGTTCTCCACAAGTGAATGAGATATGCATCCTCTGTTTTATTCATTTCTACCAAATTCTACACTTGTCAAATTTTTAACTATATTTATTTAATTAATTACAGGTTTAATTTAATTAATTAAAGCTGAGGTTGAATTTGTGTGATCTGAGCCGACAAAGTATAACTTTAATGAAAGTTATGTTATTAAAAGAATGTCAATCACATTCAAAGCAATTTAAAGAAAAAAATGACATTAAAGATGTAGTTTCAATTTCCATAGCAACTCGGACATACACATTAAATCTCAGCTAAACTTATCGAAAAAGTAATATTTAAATACAAATTTGCAAAGCCTTTCTTTCCAAGCAATAAACGAATACGTGAACTTGAAATTTTACACTTTTTATACAATATTTGCAATAATCGGATATCTCAAATAACTTCATCGTTAAAATGTGTCGCTCATTGCTGAAATCTTTATTACATTCAAGTGATTGTAGCAAATTAAACTTTTTTCACGTTTAAATTCGATCCGTCAAGTAAGTAAGTACTTACATTGCTAAAGTACAGCTTATTTTTCAAATTTTATGCTTCAAATTCCAATTTTTTCACAGTTCAAAACTTATCAAAATGCAATTACGTGAGAATTAGGTATATGCGCATTCCATTCATTCATTCATCATAACTTAATACTGTAGAATAAAATCCTCAAATGACTATTTGAAGACATAATGAAAGTGCGGCAAAAACTTGTATTTGAAATTAAATGAATAAGAACAGTAATGTCAGTAGCAGTAAGTTTTAATTAAAATTTTAATCATTGAGAGAAAAAGCTAACTAACTAAAACAACAAACCTTAAATATATTTAAAATTGGAATTTTTTACTTATTTCCTTCACTAATTTACAATTTGTGTTTTGTAGTACTTTGCTTTCAGATTTTAATCGCAGTCAAATATTATCAGCGATTTACCTCCAAATATATGAAATTAATCGGAAAAATTGTTCAAAAAACTATTAGAATTCAAAAATATTACTTTGTAATGGATAGTATTTTATTCACGTATAAGTATTACGCAGCAATGAATTGCTCAAATATATTTTTAGTAAAATTTGAAGTAATTGTTTTCTTTCAATGTGCTCAATTATGCATAACTTTCTGACATATGACCTACTATCAAATACGTTTGTTCAATTTGGATTAGAATACACAACCAAACATGAATTATTGATCTGAGACCGCTCAAGTAAAATTTTCAAAACATTTGAAAGATTTATTTTACCAAGTCGTCAAATGAGAACTCTCAAAGCACTGCAATTTATGTTTGATTGAAGGCAGAAATGCATAATACTACTCAACTACGATGTAGCAATTCCATTGTTGCATAGTCATTTGCATGCAACGATTATTTTTTGGGACAATAAGCAAATGATAGGTAAAGTAAGAGTGGAATGAGGAGATAGGTAGTATCCACTTTGCATTAAGTCTGTATTTTGGATGGTCGGTGACATTATTGTGATCGGAATGAGTAAGAATTGTTGTTTCTCTGTATTTTTGGTTTTGTGATGTTACCATACGTATTTTGAACATAACTTCGTATACAGTTGAAAATTATTAATTTTGTCAGTAAAAGTTGAGAAAGTTATTGTAGTCCCCACTTTTATTCACGAAAGTTGCAGTTTTTTGTCTTTCATATAAAACTTCGTAGGCTTAGTTGTTAGAAATTGTTTGTATTATCTCTTATACATGCAGTCAATTTCATTTCATGTTGTGTGTAGATGTTGTGGAGATCAAAATTATTTTGGATTTCAATTCAGTTATATGTCCATTCTTTGACAACTGTTATTCTGTTACAGGCATATTTGGTGCGATTTTGACTATATCATGGAAGCAAAAAATGTCCCAAGCATTTCCGATAAAGCCAGTTCATCTTCGTTAAAGGTTAAAAAAACCTGTTTCAAAACAAAATACTCCAAGATTGAGCGTTTGGTGCATTTGTACAAGGTATGTCATCGCAGTGCATGTGTTTAAATTGTGGCTTTTTAAATGTTGTATTTCATAAAACTTTGGAATATTTTATTGCTATCAAAAATCAGCATTTAAAGATTTTTTCTCTTATATATATATATTTAAGAATCGCCTTGTGACTAAGAATTATTTTACAGCAGTTAAGATCAGCTATAAAAAGACTTGAGGATCGACCAGTCTCGTGTGGGGAGGATTATGATGAGGATTTGGAAGAGGCTTATGAAAGACGTCTGATAAAACTTGCGAACAAAAGACTCCAGATTCATAATTATTTGACCCGAAAAGGGATTTTTGTTGTTGATACGGCAGAGAAAATGTAACTGTAAATTCTTATTCAGAGCTCTAGGAAAGTTCACTAAATCCATTAAGCTAATTAAATTGTCTATTCTGTCTAGTTTAAATTTATATATCAAGCCTAAATAAAAATTTTATGCTGTGAATCACATGAAAGCTGAAGGCAATACAGTTTCCATTCGTTTGCTTTTTATTTCGAACTAATTCTGATCAAAGATTTTTCTAGAGTTTCTGATGCGAAGCCAAAGCTAATAATATCTACAACAGGCGTCGAGCATTTGAATTTGCTCCTAACGGAGCACATTAATCAAGAAATTGATTCAGAGGTCTTTGGAATTAAGATACGATTGCCTTACAGGTTAGAACATGAATTGATGGGAGCTAAAAAATGGCCTACTCCAAAAATCCTGTAGCATTTTTCAAGATGTTTATTTTTTCTTTTTTTTAGGCACGTCACTCTCAACGATGTAAAGCTCTTGATAGAAAAAGCGAAGGATATGGGTAGTTCAGAGCTTTTTCCAGTAGATCCATCGGCATTAGGCAAGTTTTTGATTGTTTGTCGTGATGAACCGTTTTGGATAAGTACGTTTGTTCATTTCAAATAGATGAAGTGCATTAACCAGTTTAAGTTTTTAGATCAAATGGTTCAAAACGTCGTATGTGAAGTGAACCGAGTAATAAAGAAATATATTGAAGACAATCATAAGATGTCTCTTGCAGATTGCGAAACACTGAGTATAATTTATTTATTTCTGCACTTATTTTATTTTCTACTTCATCGAATTATTAGGCCGCATCTAAAATGCTTATATAATGAAGACATTATTATAAATTTGCTATCATTTTTGTAGATTCTGAAGAAGCAGTCGGAAATGGAACATCTAAATCAGATTATGTGGATGGTGTGGAACGCGGAACTGAAAACTCTTCAGATGTCCCAACTTGGGACTGTGCAAATATAGTCAGCTTCCTTGATGTTATTAAAAATATGGGTGAAATTATTAGTAGGCTGCACGAATATTGTCGAAAATGCGCCACTAATTGCTTTTCTGCTCGTTGTTTGAGTTTTCTTAGTTATGAATTCCTGAATTTTAAAAGAAATTGATGATAATTTTTAGATGACGATAGTTTTTGTAACTTTTTTGGAAATCGCATTTGAATGCAAAGTTTCGAGTTAATTTTGAGATCATAAACCTATAGATCATAAATTTATCAAATTCATTGTTCAGATATTGTTTATGTTTTAAAGGAATTGCATGAGGCATATAGTCGTGGAGAACTAGATTGTCAGGAGCCAGAAAGTAGTGGTGATATCGACGATACTGAGATGTTGCCAACTTCAGAAGAAGATGAGGAGGAACAAGAATATGCTGATTTTGAACCTTGTGCACCTGATTCTCCTTGTGTAAGATTTTTTATTTACATTACTGTACATTGTGTGTTGCATTATGCGATTCGAGTTTTTCATTTAGTAATGTCATTTTCGAAAAGGAGCAGAGAGTTATTCATTTTCAGTGTTTTTCTTCGTCTTCCTAAAATTGATAAATGACATTTTCTATATCAGCATTATGTTATGAATGTAGTAGAATTACACTATGGTTATTCGGTTCATGAGGATTATATTTGTATCTGGATTAGTCAATATTTTCATTATAACAAAAACTAAATTTGAAAAATGATTTCGCAGAACATTTCATGATTGTGTTTGTAGAAGTATTTAAATTGCAAACTGGACGTTCAGCTTTATGTTTTAAAGGAATTGTATGAGGCATACGGTCTTGATGTACTGGATTGTAAGGAACCAGATAATAGTAATAACGTAGACGATATTGAAATCGTACAGAATTCAGAAGTTGAAATGGAACAGGAATGCGATGATTTCGAACCTTATGCAACTGATACTTCTCAAGTAAGACATTTTATTCGCTTTCAAAATAATTTCCATTTTCTAATTGAGCAGCATTGCATTCCATAAATCTACTTGTACTCTGTTATATTCTAAACTTAGTAGCACAAATTGTCGATTAGTGTATTTTTATTTTCTCATCATCGTCGTAAAAGGAATCATGGTATTTATGATTATGATAAATACGAGCAAAGTGATAGTAATAGCTCTTACATTTTCAGGACAATAATATAAGAATTTGTGGTAAGTTTGGTCGTAACAGAGATCAAAGTTTTGTACCAGATGTTGTGATTGATATGAGATCACCAGAAGAAGGTGATCATAAATTGGAGCAAAAAATGGATTCTGGTGATGATGACGATTGTTACATTATCGAACATTAGAGCTTACTGAAGATTAAGAGTTAGGATCCCTACTTTCGCTTTCTTTTCTGTTACATTGCAATTTATTTGTATATTTAAATAAAGGAATTCCTGGCTTTTTTTTCTTCTGATTTTGGCCTGCGAATTTTTCATTGAGGTCCCAAGCTTATTTGTTATTATTGATTGTGATTACAATAGTATTGTTGTGAGGACGCTTTCATTAATTCTGGTACAACCAGCAGAATACTGGATCGAGTTTCTGCTGGCTGTACCAGAATTAATGACCCATATATACCAAACAGCATTTTTCATAATTTTAATTCTGTCAAGGTTCTGGAATTTTGTTTACTAATGGTTACTTTTATAATCTGATTGAAAATAATAGAGCAATTCAGCATATAATTCTTTTCCTCGTCGATAGTCTTATTTTCGTCACTTGGAGTAAGGGAAAGTCAGAGAGTCTTGACTTATTTTAATTTTCAAAGGAATTGATATATTTTAATTTAATTTCAGTTTGACTTCTGTAAATTCTGGTACTTTCTGCTCTGTTTTATCTCCATCACTGTTTTTATTTTGTTGAGAGTTAATTAAGTTTGGAATTATTGATTGTCTAGTTGCATCCATTTGACAAAAGATTCTCAGTTAAAAGATCAATATATACACAGATTGATGAAAACTTCGGTCTGACTAAAAATAATTGAACGGTTCAGCAATTAATTTGTTTTTTGGTGAAGACTGACGAGGTATTCGCATTTTTAACGCATATCTTATGAACAAAGAAGTTATGAACTATGCACAAAATGTTTAACTTACCTAATAAGAAAGGAGTAAAGAGTGCGGTGTAGTGCTGAGGATGATCAAGATCTTGTTCATTGAATTGTGAATGGGGAATGAAGAAAAATTCTTAAGAATAGCAAAAATTAAGACGAAGGAGAGGTTCTTTTTTCGTCCTGAACAAAATTTTTATTTTTGAAAAAGCAACGAAGTTCAATTCGTGGATGGCAAACGCACAGATAGATCAAGATTGGCTGCGGAAAATATCCGATGATCATCTGGTCATCAGCATACTGTAAAACTTCAGCAGTTTCTGATCTTCTTATTCTGTTTAATAACTATTAAATTTAAATTTTGATAGTAACTTGTTATTGTCAGCAAACTAATATGTCTTCCTAAATAAAATAGTCCGGGAAAGATGTTTTAGCCTTCTTTTTTTTGATTTACTACAGTAGTTCTGTTGCTACGTCTGGGTTGCCAGTTTGAATAATAACTTTGAAATGTTAATTGTTACAATGGTTTCAGTATTAAAATGAAAGTTACCATGAGTTCCGGAAGACGTACTAAAATAGACAAGGAGCCTTTTATGGATAATGGAATGGTTATCCAAAAATGTTTGTGAAAATAAAATAGAACTGAAAAAGTACATATAAAATGACAGATACCCCAGGAACAGTGAGGGTTTATGGATTTAAACATAGAACTGAAAAAGTACATATAAAATGACAGATACCCCAGGAACAGTGAGGGTTTATGGATTTATGTTTGTAAGTAGTACTAAAATACTGAAGTAACAAAAGAGGTGCTAAGAAATAAGAAAGTGTTTTTTTGGACACGAATATACTGTTGATTGTAATATGTGGAAGCAGTGTTTTTGTTTTTAAAAAAAGCCAAAGAGATGGTTTAAAAGCATGAGAAAGAAATGATTATGAGATGAAATATATTTCGACCAATAAGTCTTTTAGCAAATAAACAAATACAAAATATTATTGACAAAATTCAAAAGTTACAGGAAGTTTTTTGGTCTTTTGACAGAGTTATTCTTTTATGCAGCAGAAATATGTCTGAATAGTTAGCCTACTTTTTTGTGAACTGAAGGATAGAACATAATTTCTGCTGCAAAGTTTATTATTTGATGTTGAAAAGAAAAGAAGCGCACATTTACACAGAATTGGTCTAATTTAAAAGTTAAAGCAATAAATGCGCAATTAAGCACTGAGAAATGTGTTTTTTCTCAAAGTCTTAATGCGAGTCTAATTACATTAGTCTGATTACATTAACATATTTTTAGTTGAGTTAAAAATGTGTTACCAGACTAATTGGTATTAGTATACATTCGAAAAGCTAATTAAGCACAACATCTGCGGATAGACGGCGATTAGAAGAAAGAAAAAGTATTTTCAAAAGCCGCTCACTGTAATCACAACATTAAATAAGCTCAAATACCAACAGAAGTAATTAGCACTTTGTGACGTGACTTTATATTTCTAACGTATAGAGAAGTGAATTAATAAGCTTAAAAGTACTTAGATGGCAAAAAATTCTGAAAGTAATCATTGAAATGAATTCAAGTTTTAGAATATTCAAAGTAATGCTAAATTAATTCCAAAATGTGTGAAAAATGATGATAATAAATTAATTATTGTAGTAGAGAAGTTGCATTTAATATTTCTGAATAATTTATCTGAATTAAATTAACTGCTAAAAAGTGAGTAAATGTATTTCAGATGATAAGCTATAAGTCATGCCCGTGCGCGACTTGAATATTGCTGATCTAGTGATAAATGGTTGAAAAGTGGAAACAGAAAATGAAGTAGCGCAGCTGTTGCTTATATTCTACGCTTTTTTTTTTGAGGTCAATTCCATCTAATCTGATAGATTAATTCAAGTTTAATCTAATGAATCAGTCGGCACTTGCTATATGATATACTTTTAGACTGAAGAAGCTATCTTAGAGAGATCACTCTTTAGCTTTTAGATTTATCTCGTGTAATGCGTGTAATACGTAGCCAATTGCACGTTCAAATTTTTTATTTTTAGAAATCTTACGAAATAAAAGCCGCATGTTTAAAAAATGCTGATAAAATTTTTTACTTCATCGTAATTTTGTAGTGAACTGTAAAATGTACATGATATTTTGAAAATTTGTTCATCTCACAGATTTCATTTTAGTTCTGAGTTGCATGGGTAATAAAAGTATTTAGCATAAATAAAAGCATTGTAAATTTGGTGGATCATTCTCATGACGTAAATAAATTTTTGCATATTTTCAAATATGTGAGCTTTATTTCTTACGACTTCTACATAGTTCTGAACTTGCAACTGGCTACGTATTTCTGTATTACACGAGATGTGTCTAACACAGAATAATCGAGTACGTGAAATGCTCTTGAACACAAACAATTTGCGCAGAGTTTATTTTATTCGATAAGCTTTTTGGCGTAAGTTGTGCAATAATATTTTGTAATATTCATAGCAATTATTCATTCGTTCATTCATTCATTTATTGTAGTGCTAAAATATAACTTGAAATGGCTGGTTGTTAGTTATTTTTTATAGCCCTCGCAATTCTCTCATTTCGTTGGTATTGAAATTAGAAGCAATATTCAAAATGAATGGAGGAGAAGTCTTATAACCTTGGAACTACTCGAGATGTCCCTGCACTAATCTGCATATTATGTATGAAAGTAAGTTTTCCTGTCGCTCGGCTACGTTATCTAATACTTGACTTTCATCTTTCGCACTCAATAAAATATTGTAACTCAACGTAAAACTCCACATGAAACATGGCTGGAGACGTAAAATTATTGTTATATCTAGTAGTAATTCACTTAAATGAGCTATTGTTTCGGAAGTGTTGTTCAATTAAATAAATTGACAAATCGATAGGGCGGCGAGATGAAAAGAAGAAAAAAATGATAGCAGTACGTATGTACATAAGTGAATGAATCTTACAGCACTGGAGCCGCTTCCGCGGTGACTTTTCTCTCTTAGTACTGTTTACTCCCGAAGAAGCAAGTTTCGAGAGTTTCTTCCGGCTTATCCTACTTGTTTCTACTATTCAAGATTGCCCACTCCAGGTGGTATCGTTATAAAGGTAAAATTTTTTGATCAGAAATTCGTATTTTTTCTTCGCGTACCGCAGAATTAGTAATAAATCATCACTGGATGAGAATGAAAAAGGCGGATACCTCTTCCACGACCTTTTCTCCCAGAAACTCATCGGTTCATTCAACGACTCATTTATTAACTAACTTTTCTTCTTTTCGGCATATTTTCCAAGTTTTTAATTATTTTTCTGATTTGAAATCAAATTACAGTTAAAAATTGATTGCAATTAAAGATATCAGTTTTGTTTCACATATTAAAGTTGGCATTACACTGCATTCAAGCAAGTGCTCAAAGTTAAACATTTCAAATCAGATTTGTCGTAGTCAATTTTAAATTCTATAGAAATGAAATTTAAAATGAAATTGTGTAAATACTTTTTTAAAACTTATTTTCAAGACCGGATTTATATTTTGATACCTTGAGCAAAATACTCAATAATTATACTTTACTTTCAAATTTAATTGAAGTTGAATTCTTATATGCTATGCTAGAATATATAAATATAATGCAGTTAAATTCCGCAATTCTTGAACTTCATCTTCCTCGTTTTTAACTGTTAATTACTGTACAGTTTTTTTTAGTTTATTTCCCGTATTCATCTGCATACTCTTTGTATATAAAAATTACATGCGAGTAAGTTAGTTTAACTTCAAGCATTTTGTCATTATGTAAACTGTTCAAACGTTAATACTGATTCTTAAATTGATACTTTATTGATTGATTTTATCGTGAAATGATCAGACCCAATCAAAGAAAGAATTAAAAACGACATTTGGAATGCATATGTGAGCTGGTTGGGAGTGCACAATCGACTAGCAACAATTTAGTTATTCCATATGGTTTTCGTTAAAATTTCTTGAAAACATTCCAAGTACAGTTGAGTCAAATTTGTCAACCACCTGTTAATCGGCACGCTTGTAAATTTATCATTATATTTTTGATTATTGCTATAATCACAGTTATTACTTATAATCATTTATTAACAATCCTTCAGTTTTATTTGAAAACATTATAATTTGTCATTTTCAGTTACGGAATTCGTTTGCACGATTAATATTATTATTGCTGTTATAAACTTTTCATATTATATGAATAGTTCAGGTCACTTTAGATTCATAATTACGAGACAATAATAA